CAATGTGGGGATTGAGACTTTTGAGGTTGTTGTGTCTCTGGGAATATATTACCAAACAGAAAGTCAGTCATGGAAACTCTGGAAGTGCAGTAAGTTAAATAAATATAGGGGTGTGATGAAGGTGATAATGGATTGTTTCAGCAAGGAAAAACTACAACTCTGTTCTCTGGAATCATAACACAGAGTAACAGAGTAATGTAAAGTATAGCAGAGTTGTTAGAATTTAGGAGACTTTCAGTCTACCTCTGAAAAGTCACATAATACAACTCCCATTTCCGCATACACCAGTGCAATGAGCTGTTTCTAGCAAATTTCTGCAAATTTAGTACTTGGAGAAAAAGCTGATCAGTTTCATATGCTGTAATTGACTGCACACCCTGTCTTCCTTCTTTTTTTTTTTTTTTAAACTGTTCTTCCTCTTCTTTAACCCTCAAGAGTGTCAAGCCACAAATTAATCCTGACTCCAGGCAGTGCTAGAAGTGTCAAACTTAATGGCATCTCAGCCACATAGGGTCTTAGCTCATGTTTCAGCTCTCTAATAGCCTGAGTTTTGATAGAGTTGATATATGCTTAACATATATTTTTAAAGAAATTTCTGGTCCAGTCTCTTCTTCATTCTCTCCTTCCCCTCTTTTGCCCCCATATTGCAGCAATTCAGCTTGGAAATAAGACCAAATAAGGGATGTATGTGGAACACTAGAACTAAATGGGGCAGAGTATTTAATTTATCTCCATGAGGAATTAATGTACATGCTTAGAGATGATTATGAAAACATTAACATTATTAATTGTTGCCCTTTGGGTTTTTTTTTCTGGTGATGGATGCCTCTTTTGATGCAAGAAGCAGATGTTTTTAGTGGGAAATTTCCTCCCCCTACCCAAATAGAAGCAACACTGGTCATAAGAATGAAAGTAACTTGAAAGAAAGGTGAATTGATATAGCACACAAATTTGTAGTACCTAAACAGCTCCAGCTATACCATATCCTCCAAGTTTGAACATTTTCTTATTTTTGGTAAGTTGTTCAGAGATAATCAAAAAAGTTCTACGCTTTTTGTACTAGTCTTGCCAAAACTCTCTCTGTTTCTTCTGTAGTAGCATGGTTTGCATTTTGACAGAAGGTGATTTTTTTTTTTTATCTTGAGGAAAGTTTTGTACCTCTTGTCTTCAGGGTCTTATTTAAGCTCTTAGAAATTTTTTTAGAGGAAATAAATGCACATGCACAAAAAACATTGAAAAACTGTGTGTCCTGCAGAGACCTGAGCTCTTACTTTTTGCTTCGTAATGCTTTACTCCTGAAAATAAAAATAAATCATTAGTTACATATATTGATAAGAACCCTTTACAGTGAGCACCTCAGCATGAGTGAGGATGCAACTGCAATCACATGACACAGCCTTGACATGTCCTAACAGAAAATTACTAGCCTTTATACACTGTAGAGCAACTTAACATGGCAACTAATGTTCATCAGATGCTGCTGATACACACAGCTCTTGACACTGACTGATGAGCATTATACAATGCAAATTGGAAACAAGGGGCTATGTTGTCCAAAAAAAATCCAGTGAACATTAATTCACATACCCATACTTCTTTTTACCTGCCATTAGCATTGTAGCAGTAAATAAACTGCTAAAAATAATTGCCTAGCAAAAAAAATCTGCCTGGCATTAATTTACTACAACAAAATTTTGACCTTTAACAAATGGGTGTACAATGCTCTGTTCTTTTAAGTAAGTGAATCCTGTGAACCAAAATAGAAGAAAATATATCCAGCCAGAAAACCCTAGCTTATGCTATAATTAACCCCAATGATCCTTTGAAATGCTCTTGATAACTTTCAAGCTACTATTTCCAGATACTGCTCCAAAATTGGGAAAATACTGAATGTCTCTCTGGATCCTAGACAAATCTTGTAAATTTCTGAAAGCAGAACTACAGGAGAGGGAGTGCATGGAAGATTGTCTTTCCAATTTGGAAGCATACGTCAAAATCAAGACAGACGTGGGAAATCCAGTAGTATTTCTTAATTAAACACTAAAAAAATTAGAATAGATTATAAAGTAGAAGACAGAGAAGACAGAAGAGCTTCAGAAAACTAAATTTAGAATGACTTCTTTAATTTAGTTTGAAATGTTGGTAAAACTGCATGGGGAATAATGTAGCTGTGTTTCTATGCAGTAATATGTTATTTTTAGGTCATTCTAGCTGTGAATAAAGCAAGGATCTCTGGGGAGACTTTTCTTTTGTAGACCTGGCCTCTTGCTAAAATATTTTTGTTCAGCTGTGGTGACATGGACTTTCTATTTTCTATTTCCTCTGAAAAACCAGTCTTATTTTTGATGTTGCAGCACTTTATTTTTTAGGAAAACACACTGCATTTGTAATGGCATAATGTCCAACAGTATTCTCCTTAAATCTTTCTCACAATGGTAGTTGATGGTCTAATTTATTTCTAGCTGTGGCATTTTTCATTTATTTCAATTTTGCAAACAAAGGAAGGTTCCCATGTTGTTATTATTATTAAAATGGAATGGGTGACTACAAGGTTAATTTGTCAGTTTCATCCACAGCTGTAATTTCAAGGGATGACTGAACCAGTTAGGACAGGACAGGACAGGACTGAATACAAGGCTAGGAAATGAAGATGTCAGAATTGCCTGCCATGGAACTCTACAAGCAAGTAGTAAGCCATGAACAATAGCAAACAGGGCTGGTCCTGGGCTTAAGACAGCATTGTGAGATTTAGAAGATACAAGAAATGTGGATGCTAGCAGTAGTATTAGAAACTTCATGGCATTTGCAAAGCCATTTGACCCTAATTTCCCTAGTTTTCAGTGACTTTCTGCATGAGATCTTATTTTGCCTCCTCTCTTGAAAGTAACAGGTTAATGTTACTCTCTGAGAGCTAAGCATTTAGTTCCCTAAAATACCATGAACTGCAACCAAAAAAAAGAAAGGTTTAAAGATGGCTCAAGCTTTCATGGGCTAAAAGAGAGTAAAGGTGTCAAATAATGTTTTAACATGGGCCTACCGACATTTAAAGCAAGTCTTCTTCATTTATTCTGTTCCAATGGCAAAAACTTCCTTTACCCTGAACAGCTAAGACGGGTAATGTAAGGCAAAAATGCTTGTTAATACATGATTGCACTACTGGCTAGGCAAAAGTGCATTATTAGGGAAGGCTGTTACAAAATTGTTTGACCCAAAGGGAGTTTTTTGATGCCAATTTATGAGGCCTGCAGGTAGATTTATGTTAAATGATTCAACAAAATATCTCCATTTGGAAACAGTCAAATCTACCATCACCATGGTAGATGACTAGTTTTAGAGTTAATGCTCCATCTACATACACAAATACAATTTATTCTCTGAATGTATATTTTGCTTGCTATACCTGTCTGCATACACAATTGTAGGTTATTAGGAAAAGCCTTCAACCCTGGAATGATTAACACAACCAAATTATTTTGGTTTTAAGCAGAGCTTTCTCTCACATACACACAGATATACAATAAGATAGAGAGCATCAGAAATCTCTCCATTTCTTGTCCACCCTATTTTCTATGTCCAACAGAGGAAATATCTGTTCGAATAAAATATCTTTTTAAATAAAAATTTAATTGTAATATCCTCAAAATCTCAACATCTTTCTATCTAGGATCTAAAATATGAACAAACTAGTTTTCACACATCCATTGTACTTAAAAAAATGGCTTTTGGATGCTTTCATACCTTAGGTCATTTTTTCTGTAATTAGTTGAGATGAAAGGGAAGAGGGAGATAAACAGACTAAAATAAGAATGTTGTCTCCCTAGAAAGTGGCTCTCTCCTCCTGTAAGCAGTGTTGCATGTCAGAATTCCCAGGGTACAATCCAGGCTAGAAGTGCCATGCCTTACCCCTGTCTCCCATGACTAGGCAGGCTCACAATCATGACCACTACTCCCAAGGGAATGGGGAACCATTATGGTGTCAGTAACACCACCTTTTCCTGAGCCTCCCCTTGGGGTGGCACAGCTCTGCACTGCAGTCTCACCATACCAGAGACACTGCACTACAGCATTTCACATTTACGTGCAGGGGTTGGAGAAAAACAAAACAGCACCCGCTTCACAACCTCAAGAATAAACTCATGACACGACTGCCTACTCAAACTGCATTCTCCATTTCATCTCTGTCCCATATGCTACCTATTTGTCATTCCTTTTATCAAAACTTCACTTCCATTCTCTGTTTTGTGTCCTTTACTTCCCCTCCTTTCTTCTCTTTTGAGTGGTCTGTGCTTTGTTCCTAACAGCATGTGGTTAAGCCTGATCCCTGGAAGCAATGCACCAGTATGAGTCTCCTGAGTTTCCAAAAGGAGAAAAGATGCCTGATTACTCAGAGGAGAGATATTTGTAATGCTCCTGAGGGAAAGCTTTCTCATTTTGGCCACAAGCTCTGGCTTTATTGCCATTGAGGACCATGGTCCTCCAAGAGGAAGTCTATTTGAATGATGAAGAGATCAATTAATTTGCTCTTCAGCATCAACCTTCACGGGGTGGTTTCAATGACAAAATTGAATTTAGCTCATAATCACAGAGGTAAAGAGGGGTATAATGTGCACATGCTTTTCATGAGTAAGTATGAAACGTAACAGACATAATTATCTAAGAAATGTTTGCTACATAAGATACTTTTCTAGCTTATTAAAGTTATGTTCCCACTACAAAATTCTCTTAGACAAATAGGAAATAAAACAGAATTAAATTTTTATATAACTAGAAGCCCCATGTAGTAAATTACGTAATCTAATTACTGAACTACTGCCTAATCTGTTAAATGAGCCAAAATCCTACATGAGGAAATCTGCTGGGTATTTATATATTCCAAGGCAAATAACCTTGTGATTATGTCATTAAATTTGGGAATACATTGCCCTTTAAATTGGTGTTAACAGAATGTTTGTTAAGTTGTGCTATAAATTTCCAAAGCATCAAGAAGCAAATTACTATACCAGTGTCAGCTTCAAATGCATCCTCATGTTGTCTTCTGCCTTACATCAACAGGAAGTCCATGGCACGCACATCTGCAACAAGACCAATGTCACTGGTATTGTTCCCAACCTGCTAAAGTCTCCTGAGCTGGTAATTATGTGCTTTTATAATATCTAAGCTGTAAAATACATCACTGGCATAAATAGCTATGGCAAAATTCTGTTGATTTGAGGCAGTATGCCTAACCACACCTTGAAACAAGCTACAAGCACTCAGAGAAATAACAACAGAATACAGCTTTCTTATCAGCTTTCCCTGGAAAACTGGTGCACTTTGTAAATGAGGTAACCCACTTCCCTCAGTTTTAACTGAAGAAGAAGAACTAGGATTTGTAAAAATGCTATGATGATACTAGTATTAACATAGGATATTTTTGGGAATACTAAAACCTCAACATTTTCCAAATACATCTAAATATTCTCAAATATTTGTGAGGCATTTTATCATTAAATGTGGTGAAAAGTCAGTTATGAAGAAAGTGTTTTTTAAGATTTTATTTTCTTCACCTGTAGATACAGATTAGACCACAACACAACAGTGCTTATGACGTTCATAGAGGTGTGACACATTTCAAGTACAGTGGACAGGCATGTGTTCAAAATATGTTGTTTTACAGATATTCAGATAAGTCCCTTCAAACTGTTCTGCATCAGGTTATGGAGGAAGAACACCATGTTATGTGTTTTCTGTGTGTGAGTATGACAGAGTACTGTATTTCCAGTAGAACTGTATTTCCAGCAAAGATTTTTCATTAAGGGAAAATCACTACTGTTGACTGGATAATTAGGATGCATTAATTTCGGCTAAATGCCCTTTGCCGAAGTGAAGACCGCATATTGTGACTGTAATCCTCCCACTGAGATTAGGAGCAAGAATTCAGTCTATCAGGCATCAGAGGTAAACACAGGATCCCTGTCTCCTGGATCGTTGTTAAACAAATTCAGATGACCTGCTTCTAGAAACATGGTACATGATTTTCACTATGTCCTAGCTGAGGTCAAAAATGTGCAAAGGGCTTAAGTGTCTCATTTGCTACCTCCTAAAAAAAAAGAAAAGTAGTATATACAATGCGTAGGCTCCTATGCCTCAGTTCTGCCCTAATACAGCAGTATACTTCCCCTTGAGATGTTTAAAGAAAAAAATTGAAGTTAATGCAACATGTTTTAATATTGCCTGTTGGTCACATATTGTCAAGCAAAAAGTTAATTAATAATTAATTAATTTGTGTTACAGTCTCAGTAATTTACTAAAATGTCCTTTTTCCTCAAATCACTTACTTTGGAGGAAGATATTCTGAGACTCTGATCATTGCTAGATGTAAATAACAGAAGACAAATATAGACCTTTCAAAAACAAATGTGTGAGGTCCCTCATAAATATACACACACAAGCACAAGGTGAGGTGAAAATTACTAAAAAACTACAGAAGTTTTTGTACAGATATTCATTCAGTAAAGCCCTATATAGGAGGAGTTACTTCTTGGCTAACAGAGCTGTTTATTTCTGTGAAACTGGCAGAGCCCAAATGCAGAAACATTCACGGTTCTGAAGTGATGCAGTTCATATTCTTAACTAGTTTGAACTCTAGTCTTGCACATTGAATATATTGCTTTAATTAAGGCACATTCCTTTTATTAAATGTCCAGTGAATCTAATCAATCAAAGAAACTTTTGGCCACATACATTTCAATAATTTGGTCTTCTTTTGGACTCTTTTCTAGCAACTTTGCTAGATAGAGGGGAGATGGATATCTGCTGTAGCTCATTTCTTTCCCCTAATAAAGGCTACTGTCCATTTCTGTCCCTGTCAGCTACTGCAATCAAGGAATTGTTCCAGTTTTTTCTCTCTTCAAGTAGTAGAGGCTCCGAATTTCTACACTGGCAGAACACTGTCTTTTTCTCTCTAAGAGTCATATGAATTTGACATATATCACTTTTAGTGAAATTTTTCTGAGGATTTCATCACATAATTAAACTGTTTATATAATTTCCCATTTTCTTTGCTGTATGTTTCTACAACAATCCACACATTAAGCAATCTGGAATTGCTCCCTGATTTTTGACCTAGAAGCTTAGCTTTGAGCACAACTTTCCATACAGTATCCTTGTTTTGTTTTAAGAAGATCCACATGGGAACCATGGCGCTGCAGAGACGTCTCCAGGATAACAGGGGAACCGTGGAATGCACACAAGGTTCTTCAGCAGGTAATCTGGGCACTGCTGTTCTGCACCATTCTGGGTATGAACACTTGTTCAAGGAATAGTTAGCTATTCATTTTTTTCTCTTCAGTGAAAAGAATCTAATATAATGAAATGAAAATTATGGGGGGTTCTGTCTGTCAACTGTTTCTTGGAAACATTCAGATTTCATATTTGTTTTTCTTTCGTTGTCTTTGGGAGATCAAAGCATCCTCTGATAGATTGTGATGTACATCTTCTAAGATCAGGGGACTTACGCCAGCTTTTATATGGTGAGGATTATCCTAAATCACTACGATTTTCTTTATTTGCTTTAGAGTTTTGTGAACTTCAGAGCATTAAAGCATGACATTTGAACGCTATTTACTCATGAAATTGTACTGGTTATAATCTCCAGAAGTATTTCAATGAAAAAGTAGTCATTTTAGACATTGTGACCCTACTCTCTGGCAGTGTAAGGGAACAGGTGGCTTTTTGGACTCTCTCACTTCATCATTCTACATGACTAAAGGTTTCTTAACCAAGTCATCAAGATTTTATGGAGAAACTACTGATTCTATTAATGATTTTGTTATTTTTGTACTACTGCCATACTAACAGATATATCTGTAGGATATTTCAAGACTATCTGCTCAATTCTTCAGTTAAAAATACCAAAAAATAAGAAAAAAACACAGTTCAAAAATGCATGTGGAACCTGATGGATTTTCTTTCTGCTGACTGTGTTCATCCCATGATACAGAGGTATGCTTAAAGAAATCTTCCCAGCTGATTTCAAGAGAAGGTAAAAATTATAATTTTAATTCAATAAAGCACCGCATTATGGCCACATAGATTCAAAAGAATTTTATAATTGGATTCTGAAATTAAATTCTCCACTGTGGGTTATAGTTGTGGAGATGTAGCAAAAGCTGAGTAAGGATGGGTATATGTATTTCAGGTGTGTTACTAACCTTATAAGTTTGGTCCAAGGCCTGCAATAGTGAGTCCCCTTGTCTCAGGAATGTGTTCTTTCAGGACAGTTTGTTTCAGCTGAGTGTAGCTGACTTTGTGGATACTCATACAATATACCAAGTATCTTCCATGGAACAACAATACCATTGAAATGAGGAACATTTATAGCAGCTTTTAATTTCATAAATGTAAAAAAAAAAAAAAACAAATTTTTTGGAAAATAAATAAAAGCTACAAAAACCAGAAGTAACTGAACACTTATCTGCAAAATCATGGTTTTTCATTTGCCTTTATAGAGTTGAAAGCAGCTATATTTTTAAAAACTCTTTATTGCAAGAGCCTTTACTGTGGAAAGCTTGTGGGCAGTCTGGATTTCCCCTTGGCACGTGCAGTGCTTGTAGGATTTCAGAGAGTGAGACCAGGCTTGTTTCAAATCCTTGTAATGTGTGGATAGAACTATTTATTTCACCTTGAGAAAACTCCGTTATAATGAAAGAGAAAGCCCAGAAAAAGAATTTTTTGCTTCCAGAACTGTAGTGCAAAATAAGTGGCCAGCCATTAGAGCCTGCTTTAAGTGTGTTTTCAGAGCAATTGAGGAAATGTTAAAGCATTTCTCAGTCCTTATGTTTCATCTGACTATGGTTTGCTCATTTTATGGAGTTTTTTAAAAGAAATCAATTAACAATTTTATCAGTAGGAATGCTGCTTTAAAAACTTGCCTTCTTATTCAATGAAGCCTGTACATGGTGTGCCATGGGCAACACTTCTTTTGCAATACTCTTATTCCTTAAGCAAAGGCCAGAGTAAATAGACACATTGATTGGCATTTATAAAGAGAATAACCTTCTACATTGTTATTTCCCACTGACCTCTCCCCTTCAGTTTAAATGAAGAGTTTAATGTTAGGTTGGCTGAATTATCCAATTGCACCCCTGTTGTTGATAGAGTTTCATGGAAATGCAGCTGCTTTGTTTTATGATCTATGGTATAAAATTCACAAAGAGACAGACTGTGTTAGTCTTCTGTCAATCTGCCACCCTCCCCCCGCCAAAAAAGCCCACTACTAGAAATTGTGGTTTATAGTTATTGTTTTCATTCCTAAACCTGTGATTATATCTGCGGTGTGAAGAAAAGTTTAAGTAACAGAAGACTGGCGGACTACAACTTGTACAAAGGCAGTATATCACAAGTTTAAAATAAGACCTCACAGCTAAGTGCAGCACTTCTCTTAGAACAAATACAAACTGAGGATTGGGGTTGGCCTCCTGGGCTCCATGTAATAATGGCCAGTCTTCGCGAGCGAAGATCCGGGGAAGGTCTTTACACCTTCCAGCCTGCGCATTGGATTTTTTAGGTGAGACACAGTGTGCGCGGAACTGAGCCCACCCTTTAATCCTAAGGTTCATCTGCTGGGGCCAAGCGAGCTTGGACGGTGGCAGCGAGGTCCTTAGGACGTAGATGGGTTGCCTTTAAGGGCTGACGAGCCCCACCTGCCCGGGAGTGGCCCTGACCGGGAATCGAACCCGGGCCTCGGCGGTGACAGCGCTGCGCCCTTAACCACTAGACCACCAGGGGTTCCATGTATAACGTAGGGAAAGAGATATGTGTCCTAAAAATCTGTGAAAATAGTGAAAATAGTGAAATAGTCATCTGAAACATCTGTATACTGAATATGAAGTTCTCTAAATTTAACCTATAGGAAACATAAGAAAAGGAGGAAAGAAAGACAGATACTTTGAACCTTTCAGTTCTCCAAGCTTTATGTGCTGGAATAAGGGTGAAAGGCCCATATTTACACTTCAGGATATGGAGATTAGTGTCTTCTCAAAAGGATTGCGGAGGGTTT